CTTTCCCTTTTTTTCTGGTGTATGTCTTCATTTTAATGCTCAAAATGTACTTTGTAGTTATAACACAAATATCACACAGGATTTATTTTTTCCTTATATTTTCTAGGTTTTGTGGCCTGATTCAATTTCAAGGAGACATGAGAGAGAAAGTTTTATTTCAATTGTTTCTCCTTCTTTGCCATCCATTTCCTATAGTAAGTATGAAGACATTGGGTATTATCAAATATTTTATTTAAAATACAAGCAAAAAAAAAAAAAAAAGACATTAAAGCAGCATTCTTTTTAACAGATATTAATGTATACAGTAGCTTTTATTCCTCAAGGATCTGCAATGCTGCCACCTGAAACAGGCTACTGGATACTTGCAGCGTCCCTGGCTATTCCACATAAATGCTTTTCCACCTTCTGTCCTCACTGTCTGAAATTAGAAGCAATTTAGGTGCCTGTTATTTGTTTCTTTTACACAGCACCCAGCACAGTGAAGACATGTTCACCATTTAGTACTTGAAAGCTCAGATCACATAAATTACTGTTATTTTTGCAGCATTTGTTAGTAGCAACACAGCAGTAGTTCTGGTTCAAGAAAAATTTATTTGTTCTTTTTGTCAGGTGTGATGAAAGCTTGTGCACACAGGAAGGTTTATCAGAAGTTTGCCTTTGTCATATAACCAACTGAAGCAGGGCACAAGGCTGAGTTCTTACTCAGTATGTGTAAGAGAAGCTCGTATGTGGGACAGTATTATCTCAGTCCTGTAACATTATTTTGTTGACTTAAGTTTTTGAGAGGGGGGCTGTGTTCACTGTACACGACCTGGGAGCCCCAGCTTAGAGCTGCTGTGACAACCAAACACGTAAACCAGCTCTCTGTGCCTTTGGTGTCCTCTCCAAGGGTTTCACCTGGGAACACTTGTGGATGTTCCTGTGAGTAAGTAAGTGAGGAGTAGCACCATTAAGCTGCATCTACAGTTGAGTAGTGTAGGAGAAGCAAAGGCTGTCAGAAGTAATTGCAAGGGCACATAAAAAGAACGTGAAAACTCCTGAGGTCTTAAAGTGGTTTGAGAACACACTGAATAGCCTGGTGTCTGGCCAATGCAAACCAACGCTGTTTATTCTAACGTTGATTACTTTTGCTGATTACTTTTTTGATAAGGTTAAAATCATACTGTACTCAGCGAAGTTTGATACTTCATGCAGAACTGTTACCACTTTGTGTGCACTTCCTATGTGAAGAATCCTTTGCAGGAAGGGCACAATATAAGAACTGAAGATGATCATTTCAATTTCATGTTTTATTGGTATTTTAGATCATTAACGTGTTTGTTTTTAGATATGGGTCAGTTTAATTTGGCACTACTACTCCAGAAATAACCCTGTAATTTCTTTGCCTTCCTTTGGTTATCATCAGGCTTTCTTGGAAAAAAAAAACCAAAACCAACCAAACAAAAAATCCCACCAAACAGAACTTGGTTTTGTTGCAATTTTACTGTCTTCTATTTAGTATATTTCTATGCAGTGTCCTTCAGAAGCCAGGCTAGCTCGCTGCTTCTGTATGCACACCAACATCCCTAAACAGCTCTGAGAAGAATACTTGCAAATTAACAGCTTCCAGAAACTGGAGTGTTGGAAGCCAATGTAAAGTCGTCATCTATCTCCCAACAGGTTTGTTTTTTTAAAGAGTTTTGCTGACTCTTGCAGTCTCCACACTGGGACACCTTTCTGTTTTGTGGGCCCACAGCAACCAAAGTTAGAGCCAGACTTTGGCTCATTGAGTCACTTCAAGAAAATAAATGCTCCAGTTGAGCCGTTCTCAAACATTTAAATTCATTCCTTGCAAGGAATCCTGCAAGAGTTGAGTGAAAATCCACTGATTGTAGTAGCACTGAATTCCTTGAGGTGCAGAAATGAAGTGCCTTCCTGCAGCAAATTGCTATTAGGGACAAGGACAGGCTGTAGTTCTCAGTATTACAAAGCGTCCCCCACAAAGCGATGGTCAGTGTGAAGGACCAGCACCAGCAATGGCACTGGGCTCTTCCATACGGGACAGTGGATCCTGTTCCTCTGCCTCTTCCCCGTAGATCCGGAAGACGACTGCCAGCCAGGTGTACGAAATGTTGATCACCTACAGCGACGTGGTTGATGCTGCCATCATGGATGAGGTTATGACCATACTCAGTGATACCAATTGGTAAGTGACTTTCTTACAAGATGGTAATAAGAGCTGAAATAATTTTAACGAAGTTAAGAAAAATCCCATGCCTTTGCAAGCTGATGGCAAGGAAGCTGTAAGAAATGATACTGTAGTTTTAGCTGCTTATTGCTTCTAGGCCAGAAACATGGCTGAAAAGAATTCTTCTGTTCTAAAGAACGATGGTCTGGTACATTGTCCCTCTGGAATTGGTATGTATAAAATTACCACTAGATAAAGTAAAATACCCATATTTTTCTAACAACATAAAAAGGGAGGAGATCTTGGAAACTGTCCATGAAACAGAGAGAGACTGGGCTGTGCAAACAGTCAAACTTCAACTGCACAGACAGTTTCTTGGCATTTATGAGCACTGGCAGGATTTTGGGAAAGGAAGGATCTCTGCAAACTGGGAAACAACAGAACTAGCAGAACAGCTCAAATCTCCCATGAAATGTAATTGCTCAAAATGCTACAAATGTTCTATTCAGGCAGATATTTAGAATTGGAACACTTGAGATGTTTCCCAAGCACAGTGTTGCAAAAATTAAAACAGCCACTTCTCTATAATGTAATTACTTTTTTGTTACCTATAATGTTACCTGTAACCCCTCCAAGCACAGGGGAGCTCATTCTGTCAGCACCTTTGCAGTGACAGGAGGAGGGAATACTCTCCAGAATTTTGGCACTGTTGTTTTTTTTTCCTTTCTGAAAATTTTAGCATTGTGCATTACAGTCACCCGGAAAAAAGATTGGACACCTCAGATATCCGAGGAAGTACAGTTTTAAGATACTAATTAGTGTATTTGTGTTGCTGCCAGGTTAAACATTCTTCCTTGTCACAGATGACTCTCCTGGGTCATGGGTCTCCTAGCCGGACACCCTGCCTCAAACAGTAAAGTTAATAATGAGCATAGACAGATATATATTTAAAAAATAGTTTATTTAGTCAATATATTAAATGGCTTTTTGCCTTCATTGACATTTCATGGAAATAAAATTAACCTAGACATGTTCAAGGAATAAATATACCATAAGGTTGTGGTTTACATTATTTTCAGACTGCATGCTTACACTATTTAACTTTTATTTAATTTCTATTTTATTTCTGTGCTTGAGCTTAAATAACTTTATATTTGGGAAAAGAAAACTAAGCTTCTCATTGTAAGGGGCGGCTGCTGCTATTTTTTTCTGCATTTTCCAGTACAAAATTAGGGTAACAGTCTTAATTTGAAGAACTGGTTATCAACAATTCTGCCGATTGTTAAAATGACTCATTTAACTACATACTGGTAGTAAGGATTGTGTTTAGTGTGAGTCAGTGCTCGCTTATGAAATCTAAATTTAAGAGCAACCTTGCTCAGAGGTTACAGAAAGAATTTAACAGAAACAACTGAGTAGGGTTAGATCAGTGCTGCCACAAAGGGATGGTGACAATACCAGCGGTAGAAGTGGTCCACACCAAATGGCCACAGAAGCAGCAGTGGTCATACAGCTCCGCTCAGAAATGGGTTATTAAAGCAAAATCCTTCCTAAAAACCATGGCAGAAAACTAAATATTCTATTTTTACCTTGTCATTTTTAAGGTGTGACTGGCTGCCTGCTCTAAGTTCCCCACTGCAGTTTGTCCATTGTGCTAAGATTAAAGATGAAGAGCTAGTTTACTTAAAACTTAATTGTTTTATCTCCGTAGATTTGAACTGTTCACAAAAGAAGATATTTGAAGTAATTGCTGAATGTCAGAGTGAGCTGCTTGTTATTCTCCAGCTCTGGCAGTGCTAAAACAAGCAAGCACAGTCAATTCTGAATTACGATAAGAATTAACATCAGGAAGCCAAATGAGAATTAATATTTGGGGAAGATGATAATTACTGGCATACACATATTTGTTCCTTGTTGGAACTACAGAGTGTTTATCACACAGTTGTGTAATTCACAGTTTAAACAAATTACTCTATAAATAGTAACTTTTGTTTAGCTACAGGAAGGTTTCCAGTATTAAATATGACAAATTGTCCAAGGTGTCTAAAGAAGAAAAAAGTTTCAGGTTATTTCTAACTTGCCCTTTGTGCTTTTTCTCTGTATTTTTTGACTCTGTTTATGTGCTGAGTTCAGTTTTTGTTAATAGCCCATTTACAGTTCTTACTTAAGAAAACCAAAATAAATCTACTGAATTGGTGTGAAATACTAACAGTCTCACAGCATTCCAGTTCAAGTGGTACATTTCTACAATAAGGACAATAATGTTGGCTGTCTGGATTTATGGCATTTGGGGGCTTTTTTGTAACTGACAGTTCTTGAGGAAATTATCTCATGAACATCAGGCTATTTCAGAAACTCCTTAAAAGACTCACAAGTTTTAGGTCTGGATTTTCTGTTTCAAGAGAAAGCTTCTATAGATAGTAGAATGTTCTCCAGATCCAGTGACATTTATTTAAATTCTTGATGTGAGGTTTTCTAAAGCAAAAAAGCAGCTGTAAATTTAGAGAATAAATTAGCGAACTTCTAGTCAAAAGGGTTGTATGAATGAGTAAGTGGTTTTTTGGAATACAACCATTTCAAAGAATTATCTTGGACACTTTATTCCTAGCTGTCACTTGTGGAAGACCTGCTGGGTGTTTATGATTTATCTGGCTTAAGATGGTACAAAAAATGTTACATTGTTCTTAGGACGTGACACAACAAACACTTCTGCAATTTGAAATGTATGTGGAAGTACAGATGCCTCCATAGTAATATAATAACAAAATGGCTGGCTTAAGAAGTTGTTATGTATGTAGCCAACTTCAGGTTTTTATTTGTGAATTAACTGGAAAAATCCTCTTGCAGGGAAGCTGAACTGCCAGTAGTACGAGAGAAACGCAACAGTCTCTGCGATCTCATGAAAGTGCCCAAACCGCAGCTGGTGTCCAAGGTGAAGTATGGAAATCTGCTCCTGAGAGGGTTTTTTTTTTTCAAAGAAACATGGCAATGACCAATTGTTCCACCAAATGTGCTGTGTACTTCTGTGTTCATGAATATATCAATGTGCACCAGGAGGAATGTCCTCACAGCTTACTCCTGAATATATGGAATTGCTGAAGACTGCTGGCTTAAGCTTTTCCAGTCTTATTTCTTGAAAACATTCCAGACTTGCAGTGTGACATCTCAGACAAAATGCAAGAACTAAATAATACAGTACAGATGTTTCCAAAACTGTTTGTCTGCTCTTTCTGGGGAAAGAAAAAGGATAAAAATGGCACAGTAAATTTCAGCAACAAAATAATAATGTGGTTGTGCAAGCCCCAGAATGCTGACACTGCCTAAGAGGAAGAATATAATCTAAAAGTTAATGCATTCATAAGCAGACAGACAACATATCCTGTGTAGGTCCCATTTCATTTTAATGCAGATAGTTTGGAATTGCCCATCTGCTCAGTATTTCAGAAATACAGAATTTTCTGCTTTGGTAAGAGTTTCTGAGAGATTCCTTTCCTCTCTGTCCAAAGATGAGGAGGCTGGATTATTACTGTTCTAGAGAACATGTGTTAATATGACAGTTTACAAAGAAAAATTATTTTTACTTTGAGTAATACAAGACAAGGTGAAAATGCTTGATGACCCAAGGCTACTTCCATAGTATCACAGACATCCACAGCATGTGATCTAAGCTTAAAAGTAGTAGTATATCAGTATTCTTTGCCTTTGTAATTTCTATTGTTCTGCTTTCATAGTCCTAGAAAGTTCTGTCCTTTGTAATTATTTTAGACTTCAGAAACATCACCTGTACTGTAAACATTATAGCTTTGTATGTCTATATTTTCTTCTCCATTTAGTTTATTTAATTACATTATTGGGATTCTGTTAAAACAGTGATGCATGCTACTCCACGTGACCTCCTTTTTTTTTCTCTTCCCCTTGCAGAGTTCAGCATAAGGGAGTTGCAGGCACTGGCTGCTGGTTTGTCAACTGAAGCTCTTGGTTCAGGTGCCATTGGGACTGGAAGAGTTTGTGCTGTGGCATCCTGACAAACTGGAGTCTCAGCACGAGCTGCAAAGTGCACTGTTGAACAAAATAAGAGGCAGAGATTATGTCTTAAAGCATTGTGCAGATATGCCAGGGGAAGGAAACAAATATTCATTATGTTTTCAGGTTTTAATGTCATTATTTGCAGCCACAAGATGGCAGTTTCTCTTCATACTTCTGTCACAACTGACCTGTTTTTTTCTTTGATGTCAATGATTTCTACTTCTGCAACTCAAAATGGAGCCATTCAGCCTGTGCTTGCTGTACACACTTTAAGTATTAAATGTGACTTGCTGCATTAGTCTCTTAAAAGAATTGTTTTTCTGAGGTAAGAGTGGCAACATTTAGTGACAATGAAATCTTCCTGAACATAAAGTATCTCTGTGGATAAGTCTGTCATTCTGTCATAGTCAAATAAAAAGTCCAGGTTTCACTTCAGCTAAAGTCAAATCCTCTCTTACTAGCGCTTTATATAGCTAATTCAAGCAATTGTGTTTGTGGTAAACTAGCTTTTGGGACTGAAGCTTATTTTTTCCCTTGAAGAATACAGAGGTGAATCAGTATTTAAGGCAGCTCCTAGGAATTTGGATCATTTCTTGCTGATTATAACATTAAATGGCTGTAACATTTATCTTTAGTAAGACTAATGTGATGGGGAGGACAAATGCACAGGCAACATGATATTCTAATGACACTGTGTTATTTGAGCGTTCTAATTAAATCCCACCATCCCAGCACTTCAGGTAGAACAGTGGCTCTGTGTGTGTGTGTGTATATACATACATGCATGCACACATTTGAAAGGATGGGGAAAAAAATCAGACAGAGGAGCTAAAACCGAGCTGTTCTCTGTGAAGTACTTGTTACAAACTGCAGTGATCTTCTACTGCAAGTGTTCATTTCACTCTAAAAGTCTTTTTCCTTTTCACCTGTGGTGCAACTAGGACTGCCCTGAGAAAGGGGTTACTCAGCACAAAGATTAATTTAATGAAGCACAAATTACTAAAAAATTCTAAAATTCTGAACACTTAGGTCTTCCTATACATGGATACACAGAGTATAACAGAGCTTCAATGTCACTGCCTTACCTTGGGTTTTAGTTAAAGTGATAATAATCCATCCCTTCCTTCAAGTTCAGCATGTTCAGGTTTGTTTCAAACGCTCCACCTGTCAAATCCTGTGCAGGAAGAAAAAGGGAATTAGATCAACCAGACAAACTCATTTCAGGCTGTAACAGGTTTTGGTACTTTGGTTCTTTACACCACAGAAGGAAGCCCTATTTGCAGAACTAAACATAAATAAACCAAAGCTCAGCAATGTTTCCATTCAGATATTAAGTGTATGTTGAAAACTTTGTGTTCAAAGGAATGGGGTGGAGGGGGAGCAGGTATCACAGAACACATGGTGCTCTGAGGACACAAGGGCTCTAGCAAGCCCAGCTCTGCAGACAGCTACCTGCACGTTTTGTTTGCTAATGCAGCATTTTCAGAGAAAGGACCAAGGGAATGAGTCTGACAAAAGAGTGATTTTTTTTTTTGTAGATTTTGAATAAAGATGAGCTTTGTCTGATGAAACAAACCTTTCATCAAACAGCTGAAATATTTTGCATAGTTAAAGGTGTTTCCTTTTGAGCCGTAGTTACGTTATCTGAACAGGAACCTGGTAGGTTTGCTTCATGAGCAATCGTGCAAGGCAGTGATGTCATTAAGGAAACTTGCCAACTTCAGCATTTCTGCTTTGGTCTTCCTGGAGTCCTTAATTCTACTGATCTTCAGGAATGTAATAAAAAAACGAATTAAAGCTCACAATAGGAGGTAGGTAAAGAAAGAGCTGGGGTTCTTTTGGTTGGCCCTGAGCAGCAATATTGAAGTTTTAACAATAGACAACAGTACTGCAAGTGTTTAGGACAGGAAGTTACAAAAACAGAGTCCAACTAGAACTGCAGAATTAAAGGAGGTGGAATGCTAGACTTTGGGCTAGAATAATTGGATTAAAACAATTGCTCTGGGATCTTTAATGAACCTGAGTTCAGAAATTAAGCTTTCTGTCTCATATGGAAGACTGTACATCCAGCTTCCCACCTCACCTTGGTCCCATCAGCTGAACTGCTTATAAACATGGTCATCATCTTTGGGGGTTGCTTGGAAGCCTTCCATGAAGGAACACTGTAATCTCAATCAACAGGGAGTCTTAATTACAAAACAAGTTGACCTGTCTCCTCCAAACCTCTGCATTGTTTCAGCTGCCTGAATTTATCTAGGAAAGGAAACACTGCGTGTGTACATTTCAGACCTCTCACCCAAACCTGCACGCTGTGCCTCAAGATCACAGATCAACTCCCCTTTCTCCTGTGCAATTCTCAGCTACCTGCTGCGTTTTTCTGTTTTCACTAGCAATGTCAAAAAATACAAAGATCAGATAATCTGATCCAGAACTTCAACAAAAACCATAACCACCAGTCATAAAACTCATAATTGAGCTCTGATGTTTACTAACCATAAAAAGAAAATGAATAGCTAATAATTTGCTCTAAAGAAGCTTTAAAAAAAAAAAAAAAGAGCCCAGATGCTAAATTAAGCACGAGACTGTGGTGACAGAACAAGGCAGGGTTTTACAGTAACATCTAACTGTAAACTTACTGAAAACTTTATACAATCAAATTAGTTTACTGAAAAGGAAAAATAAAAATCCCCTTCATGTCAAGCACTTGCAATCCGTGCCAAAACAGGGCACAGTACACAATTTCTAAGCATTTTGCTTTTACCTCAAAGTGAGAGAAAATAGTGCAAACCCTTAGCTGAAGTGGTGCTGCAGGCTGCTACACAATTTTGAAGAGCTAAAGCCACAATTTTATTCTCTTCTGCGAAAACTTACTCATGTAGAGAGCAGAATTTCAGCTACAGCCCTGTGAAGCCACTTTAAAATGCAAACTGAGCAAAGATCACATAGGATGACTGCTTTTTCATAATGGTTTTATATGGTAACGAAGGAATGCCAGTGCTAGGAAGGGAGGAACTGCCTGAAAAAATAAATAAGCAAACACTGCTCCAAGTACATGGCCAGCAGAGTCGGTTCTTGCAAACCACCCACTTAATAAACACATCTAATCTTCAAAATTACCCTCTCAGAGCTGTATATAAACATGCAGGTTTTGTCTGTATCAAACCTATAAATAATCCCCTACCACAAACAGCAAAATAAAAGACAGCAAGGCCTCAGGACACTTTCTTCTTCAGAAGGATGGTGATGAACTTACCTTGGTAAATAACAAAGCTAAATTTGGAAAGTCTGGGATGTTTAGGAATTTGTTAAAGACTTCTGTTTACAAAATTAGCTAAGAGGATCTGGAGCTAATTCTTCCGTACATAAACTTCCAACAGTTCCATGCAACACAGAGCTAAGGTTGTAGTTGTTGCATTGACAGCTGCCTACACAGGAAACGGCCACACGTTCACTGGGGTTTTTATTCTTTGCTTGCTGCATGACCTGAACCACAGAGCTGGGTAAAGCTGCTTGCCCCAAATAGCTTAAAAACACAGGTCATGTATAACCTCTGAAACACAGGAGCTGTTTTTCCCCTCACAGTATGCACCCCTTTTGCAGAGGAAGTTTGTGTCTCAAATGTATTTCACATCAGCCTGGGACTTTATCTTGAAACAGCAACATTTTTTGCACAGGTGAATAGCATCAGAGAGGCAGCAATAGCTATAGCAAAAGAGACAAATGTTTTCCATTTGATGCAGTCTCATGTGCTTATCCCCCATCCCACTTTTTTCCTGTGCTCCCACTTTCAAAAGGCATGTTGGAAGAAGAAATGTAGAAAATGATTAAAGTAAAGCAAGTGGGAAGTTTTGGTTTTAGCTGGTCCTTCAGATGTGGCCTGCACAGAAAGCAAGGCAAACTCAGCCTGTAAATACAGCAAAGGCTCATGCTCAGCACTGTACTTGGCCTGCACAATAACAACACAGATGAATGAAAAAGTTCAATACTCTGCTCTTCTCAACCCATTTAGAAACCATTTCCTTTAGTGGTCAGGTCTAGAAGCTTGTAAGCTGCTGCAGACAGGACACCTGAATATTTTAAACCACATTTATCAGCTTGGTTTGTTTTGGTAGAAGCCTTCTTTCCATGACAAAAATACTACTAAAACCTGGCCATTTCAATCCACCCACAACTTTGCTAGTAAGAGTGGGATTTCACAGATTCTGAGAGCTTCCATGAAGACTCCTAACTAATAAAATACAGCAAGTATGACAATGGCTGAAAGAGGTTGCTAAAAACTATCCTCAAGATCAGCTCTGAAACTCAGTGGTCAAGAAAAGCAGGCTTTGTTCTGGAGTGGGACTCCGAGCTCTGCTGCTTGCTTCCAGAGACCCTCCGATTCCTTTTCTCTCTGCTGGGTTGTGTCAAATGCAACCTGTATCCTCCTACACTTTGGTACAGATATATTTATGGTTTTTACTTATTTCTTATGTTGCCTGTGGTTTCGCAGGTGATAACAGGGTATTAGGCACCACTAACAGGAAAATTTGGTTTCGGTTCTTTATTATAAATTTGATTTTCTAATAACCTGATTCTCTTTATAATATTAAAACAATAATACAGTATAATGACATAGGTGTACTGCAAGGTTCATATTATTAACAGGTATCAGTATGTTAAAATCTGTAGAAAGGTCAGCTCCATTATGGACTTTCACTATGTTGTTATACAAGTTTATTATCACCATTGTTCTTGTCTGTTTGGCCACAGTTTTGTTTCCCCGGTAGATACGTAATGCTGCTGGAACTCCATGAGCATTGATCTTTATTTCCCTCTGCACTAGGCTGTGTTTGCCATCAGCTCTTATAACACCAGCTTTCACAGCAGCCAACTGTGGAATTCAGTCCTGAAGTGAGAGGGGTAAGGAGAGCACTTGCCTGCAGTTTCCAGAAATTTAGCTCCATACAAATGGCTCTTGACTTTCTTAAATTATCTTTAAAAGTAAGCTCCTTCAAAGACAGATTTTAGAAGCAATTTTACAAACTCTGAAACTGTTTCAAGAGGGTCAAATTGTATTTCCAAAGAAAATACTGCATATTACTTAAACAATACTATGGCCTATAGTGTTCTGTGATCAGCAAGTAGAACATGCTCAATGGTCACGAGTGGAAGAGTATACTGAAATCAGAACTGAAGCCATTGACCAGAGTTTTCAGGCAAGATGTTGTATAATAGTCTCATTGTAAGGGCTTCACAAATTAACTGTACTTTATAGCAGGTTGCACAGATGTTTTGTCTAGGGACTTCCACCCACTATAATATGTCGTATGAAAAATTAAATTAGTTGTAATATTATTAGCTTATCCAAGAGTTTATCAACCAACAGCACATGATAATGCCCTAAGGTACCTTCAGTCTGGCTTTACAACTCATAGTTATGATTTCAGAGTTGATCATGAAGCTGGGAGTGCTAAGTTAAAAGCAGACTGTACCAGAGGAGATGAGATTCAGCCAATCAGTCGTTGAACTGATCTAGGACAGCGTTAGAATGTCAGTGTTTAAATGCAGCTACAGTTTTAGTTACTGTTAGAGACTTTTTTTTTAACTAGTGTTTGCAACTCGAATGTATTTGCTATTTTGCCTTAAAACTTTTGTGTTAGCCCATGCACTGTGCTTTCCTATTTTAAACATAACAGCCAAATAACTGCTGGTTATCATCTTCTAGTTATGTTATGAGCTCAATTAAACCAGTTGAAATAAGAAAGCTACCACAGTCAGGTACAGAGGAGGCTTCAGAATTGGCAGTGCCAAACAAAACGGCTTTTAAGGTCTGATTTAAAAAACAAACCCTTTGTGATGCATAGGGCTGCAAAATATTAAGAATAAATGAGGCCAGTTGGCTGACTGTATATCCTCATTTGTGGATATAATGTTGTTGGGCAAGGAAGGAAAACACATCCAAGCTCCTTTACAGAAGCTGTACCTTTTATTATTCTTAATACTACTTTACTTAATACTGCTGATTTAAATCCCTGAAATACTCTGCACAATCAATTTGATAAAAAAGGCCATTCAATTGCATAGTAAAAGCTATGGGAAAAGGTACTTACAGTAAGTAAAAATTCATTAGCATAAGGAGCAAATACTGATTTTGCACATAAAGGTAAGGCTGAAGGTGGTACTCACCAGCTTCACACAGATAATGAAAGGTGGAGTTGCATCTCTGAAGTGACATATAGGAATTTTTGGTTTTGGTCTCTCCTGCAGGAAAAAGCAGTAGACATCAGTAAAGAGGCACACAGGTTACTTATTAGCTTAGCTTTAGGAGCTACTAACCACTAAAAGGGGAAAAAATTATTTTGAGACCTCCTGCTAAATAGGTCCAGCTGGTCACATGCTTCCACTCATTATTTTGTCAGTCGTTTCAGGTACCCCTTATTTTCTTACCACAATCTTTCAGTTCAATTGTGTTTCTTTGACCAAAGTTACACATTACACCACATCTGAATTAAGAGCTTTCTGCTGTTGGAAGGTCTTACTCCTCTCCTCCACCATTTCTTCCTTACCTCCAAGCTCTACTTTTAGCTCTACTTTCCCAAACAATTGCCCCTTTGATCTGATTTCAAGGTACACTGCTTTAATAAAAAATAGGTTCTTTCTTTTTTTGGCAGGTTAATTTTCTGCCACTTTAGTGAGCTGCATCAGCTTACTGTGCCATCAGAGAAGCAT